AATTTTTTCGAAATTTCAGACAAAAAGCAGTGGATGGCAATTTTTATTCTGTCGATATTATTGTTATTTATCATTCTCTTGTTCATAATATTATAGGTTGTGTTTTGAAATTTTGTGTGCGATGTTTAGTTGCAGTTTTCTGTTGTCATTTGTAGGATTATGCAAAAAATGCAGGAAAAAATTGTCGAGATAGAAATCAGAGAAAAAGCATTTTGCTATAAACGATTTCCAAAGAGAATTTCCTATCGGATGTATGCTGTCTATATCATATCTGCAATTTTCGAAATTTTGTGACGAGAATCTGTTTGACTCGGCATATTTATTTTTTATGTAATGATAATAATAATCGTTGTATTTCTTTTATTTTAAGATTTTTTAAGTGATTTTTTTTAAGCTAGAGAAATTTGTCACTTAATTATTTAAAATATTGGATAAAGATGACTTTTTGAAATAATAAAGCAGTGTATATTTTTGGTCTGTCGTTATATATTGTTAATGCACACATGAAATTCGAGAGAAAGGTAAATGATTAACTGAGAAACCTTTACTCTTAAAATGGGTTATTTGAGCTAATCTGTGAATTTGGTGCTTCACTTTCACTTCTGATATTAAAGAAATTCCAAGCTGTGATATGCATGATTAAGTAATGTCACAGCTATTGTCGCGGGATTCATATTTTTGGTGAGTAAAGAAGGTAGTGGAATCTGTTCTATTTTCGAAATTGTGTTTGTACGCAACCAATGGCTTCCAATTCAGTCAGTTGTAAATCACGGGAAGTTCAAGCAGAGTACGCTTTGGTTTTCGATATAAATTAAATGAAATAAAATAATTCAGATGAGGTTGTTGATTTCACTGTTTGTTTCTTTCATCTGCTTGTGCAATTTCAATATTGCATGGGCTGTTGGATATATTTTATACTGTCCATGCATGGGAAGATTTGGAAATCAAATGGAGCATTTTCTTGGAGTGTTGGCATTTGCGAAGTCTCTTAACAGGACTTTAGTTTTACCGCCATTTGTGGAATATCATGCTCGTGAAAAACATGCTGTAAGTTTGTAAATTAATTTTGCGTTATAGTTATTTTCACTTTTTACTTCATGCTTCCTAGTAGATGCACTTTATACCCTCCATATTTGATTTCAAAGTTACAAGTATATGACTGTTTAAGACGTGTTTTTTGAGATTATGTTCTGATACTACGTGCAGATATGTTCAGTGTTATTTTCTGTCGATCTTTGTTGTGCAAACTTAATCAAATTACTATTATTAATAGTTCGAATGATTTTCAGGTTATGGTTGACTTTGATAAATATTTTCTGATTGGACCATTGCGAGAGTTTCATGATGTTATTGTTATGCGCGAATTTGTCAAACAAATCGCTCCTGATATGTGGTCATTAGATAAGAGAAAAGGTGAAAATCTTGTTATTTTTTCATAATCAACGAAAGTTTTCATAAATCATATTTTATTTTTTCGTTGTTAAGTATATGTTATTCAATATTTAATATTTGACACTATCTTAGTAATGCTACTAATTATCGAAATTTTATGCAAACACGACTTTAAATTCAAAAGATAATCAAACTCATAATTCAAAGTCGGAAAAATTTAGCGTTTTGTTGGCAACCACGAAAGAGCATTTATGATCCAAAAAAGCCTCTTGGTTGCCATGCCAAAGAAGGAAATCCATCTGGTCCATTCTGGGATTACTCAAACATAAATTTCACTGGTGATGTTTATTACGCTACTAAATTTGCTGAAGCTCATGCTATTTCTTCTCCAACTACTCCCAAAATATGGAATTCAAAGCAAGTGTTTTATTCAAAAACTGTAGTTCTAATCTACTTATAGAGTATTTTGGAGACATTGTTTCGCTCTGATTGGGGATATGCAATCAGGGTACTATAATAGATGATGCATGCTTCTTCTTCAAACAATAATTTATTAGTTGTGAATCCTAGCAAAATGCCAATAATTTTCCAAAGAGATTCTGGTTCAATTCCACCATCAGGATGACCAATTTCATGTATTTGTTTATACTTTCTTAAGTAACAAAGAACAAGTGTCAAGGCATTTATGAATGAAGCATTGTCAGTCTTATCGCACAGTTAATGTGTTTTATCAAGCGATTAATTTTTTGTTGCCTTAAATGTTAAATGCGTTGAGGTTTAGTATAAATTTCACTGATATGTAAATTTTTTAGATTCCCTGTCGAGAAATATCCTGTTCTAGCGTTCGTTTCGGCACCTGCAGCATTCCCTGCATTGAATGAGCATCACAAACTCCATAAATATCTACGGTGGTCAGACTCAGTTGTAGCGGAGGCCAACAAATATATTATTGAAACACTCGAAAGACCATTCATTGGCATACATTTAAGAAATGATCTTGATTGGGTACGTATATTACGGCATCAGATTGCCCTATCTTTGAGTTTGCTCGTACAGAAACTGTAATAATTTCACTGCAATTACTAGACCTTTCTCTTTAGGTCATTCTTTTTAATTACAACAAAAACTGTAAATGATTGAGTGGTTTTCATTTTTGACATATTTTATGAAGTTTAATTCAAAAACAAAGACTTGGTTGCAGGAGAATGTATGCCGTTTGATACAAGAGAATCAGATCGAAGAACTGTTTGGGTCAGCAGTTTGTACTAGTGGTGGTAACAAATTAACGAGAGAAATGTGTCTTCCGTCATTGAACACAATCATTGAAGATGTAAATTTTTGTTTTTGGTAGCTCTATGCTTAGCTAAAGTAAGTAAAGGTTTTTTTTTCGCTTACTAAAGAGTTTTTGAATCCGAATTCAGTGAAATTATTAGCTGTTTACGAACCTGCATCTCAGAAGTATGATCTGGCAAATAAAAGATTCTAGACTACACAAATGGCATCAAGGATTAGAGCGAAGTCCGTTTTCATATCAAGTGACCGGAACCATTTCATCAGAGAATTGAATGAAGCACTCGCTCCTCTTAAGGCATCAGTTTTTTTAAAGGCATCAATTCTTTAGTTACTGGCTGAAAAATTGCATAGCAGTCTCAACTTGACATGTAAAACATTAATCCTAATGCTTTCTGTAAATTTATTGAAAAGACTTGCATTTCAGATTAGAGCACATCGTCGATATCCAGAGAACTTACATACGAACTTGGCTATTCTTTCTTTAGCAGACTATTTCGTAGGTAACTGTGTATCTACTTTAAGCTCATTCATTTATCGACAAAGAATATATGCTGCCGATATCTCCAGACCTTCTTCATTTTTTGCTCAAAAAATACCCATAAATAACAAAGATGAACTATAATACATTAGACAATTTTGAAGACCTTATCTTATGCTTCGTGCTTCTCAGTAATATCGCAGGCAATGTGGACTCCCCGCTGAGGAAAGTTGTGGTGGATTTTGACGGACAAGACAAAACGAAATATTTATCAATAAATTAATCAGAACACCATTAAAAGACCAGGAAAGGAATGTTTATTAAAATATGTACACTTCAAACTTATCACATTTCTCGATGCCTTCTTTTGCTGATTTATTCAGAATATCCAAAAATGTTAATAGGTTCTTGTATTTCATATTGTTTTGATTCTAATAATCAAATGTCATAACCAGTACAATTGAAAACCGGACACATTGATCTAAATAATTAATAAAAGCATAGAAGCGTCACAACTACAAACACATCACACGATAATAAGTGTTACTCGAAGACATTGTTGATATTGTATAATAAATAAAGAAATAAAAAATTAGCAGTCACAATCTGGGACTTTTACTACCATGTGAGGTGAAGTCACGCACATTTTCAACACTTCAGGTAGTGAACAGCAAACAAATATTTCGTTTGTCTCGGTAGCTTTTTAAAAATCACAATGACAATGCAAACCTTAAAAGGATGAACTTCAAAAATTCTACGCAATAAAAATGCAACTCATTGATATGAGATATATAAGTACAATTCCAGATTCTTAATACTTCAGTCAGAGAGAGGAAATATTGGCATAGATGAATATGAAACATAATTCGGTGCTTTCAAGGATTAGGAAGAGCACTGAACAACGTACTCATTATGCAATATAGTAAGACTGCCTATAAATCTAGACAACTTCTACATTTCCTAGATCTGTGAAATAAGGTTTTTTTAAAAATCTACTGACATTTCTATTGAGCGTTTCTTTTTTATTATAAAATAAGAGTATCTTGTTTTTATTTAAATTTTGTGACCACACTACAGCATTTAGAAAAACATCTAAAAAAAACAAAGCTAATTTCTAACGTCACATACAACGAGGAAGTTTCATTCTTTAATGCATTACATATCTCGAGGTTTGTTAAGTCCACGCAAATTTTCCAGAAATGTAACAGGATTTATGAGTTGATCAGACCCTAAAAAAATTAGAAAATGATATGCGAATGAATGGTAAGACGGTGAAAAAAAACTGCAGTCATGAACTAACCTATGATTACTTCCCACGGTTTTTTGTCTTTGGTAACTTCATAAGCAACTCTCATTTCTGAATAGGAAACTCCACCAACTATAAAAACAATCAAACGAGGTCCAGATCGATACGATGTCTGATGTCCACGTTCTTTATGCCACTGACCATATCGAGCGCTGAAAAAACTGAGAACCGTGTAACGCAGTTTCTTTTCATTTACTGGGAATCAATATCAAAAACGCAACATGATAAACGAATGAAACTGAATCATATATAGAGTGTATACACCAAAATTTTTGCTAGAAGCTTCAGAAGTATATAATAAAAAATAAGAGATAAACCTGGTTGGAGGACGATATGTTGGAGTTACTTGTCGTCCAGCAAGAAATGGGAAATGCTTCATGTCTAGTTTATCATCGATTGCATCTTCTAGAATATCTTTTAACACTGGAACCCAACGAGAAGACTGATAAACTTGCTCATTAGCGCGTTCTTTGCGATTTGGCGCCCAAAATCTTTTACGTCCCTGCTAAAAATCAAAAATTAAAACGTTTTAAGAACCGAAAGTAGTAATTAAGCAATTTTTTGAGTTAAAATGCAAATTTATGAATTCCATGAGTTACATCTGTAATTATATTCAGCCCCAAGAACATTGCATTTGTCATTGTGTCTTTTTCTACCATATCAATATTGGCATGTTGCAAAAGTTTGTCGAGATTTTCTTCCGAAATACCTAAAAAAATATTAATACGGTAAAGCTTGAGGAAGTGAACTATAATTTACAATCACCTTGAAAATAAAATGCTTAAATCATCATAGCCCTTGCAAAATGATATAAATGAAGTAGAATGTGCCTGACAACTAGGCATTTCCAAAATTCGCACCGTTTTTAGACAGAATGTAAAGCAGAACAAGTCGCAGGCGGTCAGACGGTTCAACTGCCGGATCGATAAGTAATGGTACCATTAATTTCATCGGATCTTTAACTCTTTCACCTTCAGCATCAATCTGCATTGCTAGATCCTGAAATTTATTTAAACATGCACTTGTAAAATGAACAATGCATAATCAATACCATTACTTATCGAATATGTCTTCACTTAAAACTAATCCTGACCTGCTCGACTTTACAAAGTTTATCAATTCCCTGTTGATATTTTCGCATACATTCTTCGGCCAAATGAAAGTGCGTATTGAATTTGTTTAATTCTTTTTGATATTGTGGCATCTTCTTTATCATCATTGACAAATCTGAATACTAATACTTAATAACATCCTCATTAAAAGAGAAATTTCCAAGAATAAAAAATTTTGTAGTATGACATGGTTGAGATTAAGAAGGAATGTTAACAAATACACACCTTTAATACTTTTTGCATCGGCCTTCATACCAGCATTATTTTCAGAAAACTTTTTTAATCCTTTTGTAACTTCCTGCGAAACCACAGCAATGTGCTTATGACGATTTTCAACCCACAGATCATCATTTTCATCCAAAAGGACTTCTTTATCAACAGTATCATTGCCACCAGTTTCATACCTAATTTCTCGATAAATAAAGAACATTTCACTTTCTCAAATAATAAGCCCAATGCAACGCTGAGTACAATGAACTCTGAAGATTACTTTCGAGATTGCTAGCATAAACAAATATAGGTGTTATAAAATGTTAAACTCACCGATAAACGTCATTTTCTATATCCAGAAGATCATATGTCATGGCTTGCAACGTCAGCTCATGAAGCAATGGGCTGATTGCATCAAAGCCTCGATCTAAAATCATGAGCTGACTACGAGCTTTATCTGCACCTTCTCCCATAGATGGATCATCTGCTTTGTAAGCATCAAGCTTTTGCTGCACTAAATGAGCTAACTCAACATTTTGTTCGAAATCTGATCGATACCTAAAATTCTTTCAGGTTAAAAGGAAAATATTATGATTGAAAAAGATGAATCTGAATTAGCTTTCTAAAGCAAAGTTTATTTCTACTTATGACATCTCAATACTACCGTAATTTGGAAACAAGACTTTTCAAATGTAGTAACTTCAAAATAAAATTTAAAAATTTAATGACTTAGATCTAAATCTACAGGTAAAGATATCAAGAGAACTTCATATAGTTTTTTTAACCTTAAAAGTGGGTATTCGCCAAGAGTTGCACAAACTGTAGCAATTTGTTCTGCAATGCGTTCTAAATTAGTTGTTAGCCCTCCTTGTTTTTGTGCATTGTAATAGAGAAAGAATGTGTCAGGCGAATCTAGCGAATATACCTGAATGAGTTTTAATATTTCTCACATATTTCAAATTAAAATGAACAAGATTAACTCTATGCTATATTCGAAAGATAAAAAAAATACCAAAACATGTAAATAAATCAGTCTTATCTTGACTGTTCATGAACAGAACCAAATAGTCATAATCAAACTACAGGAATGAGATGCGAAATTTATAAAAGTATTCTACGATATTTTAAAATGAGAAAATTGCTTACCTGTGATTCATAAGGAGTAAAGGCGATATTAACTTCCTTAAGAGTTTTAATGTATTTTGCTGCTTGACTTTTTGATAATGTTGAAAAAAGCTGATCAGGACAAGCTAAAAATTACATTTCACAGTAGTACAAGGTTGAAATTAGAAAAAAAATAAAATGGGTAGAAAAAATGTAACAATGATCAAACCTAAATTTCTTTCTGAAAACATAAACATTGAAGAAAAATACTGGCTAAACAAGTACATCAGTTTTTAATCCCTTTAGTCCATGCAGTTCTTTTCAGTAGATTAGTTAAGTGTGTACTTTGTATTTCTGCTCAAAATTATAGATCAACCTTCGGTAAAAAATACATGTGCACATCTGTACTGATTTCGACCATGAGAAAAATCTGCGATCAGTTTTTCAACAGAGTCTTTTGTTGGTGCAATCAAATAAATTGCATCAAGACTCTAAAATAAAGTAGCATATCTTAATCGACAACGTGATGCTTTAACAACAACCTATTTTCTTAATCTTTTCGATCTACCGACTTTCTTCCAGTACTTTACATGAACTGAATTAAAATCTGCGTAAATGAAATTGTTCATCTATTTGTTTGCGCATATATATAAGTTTATTGAAAGTAATTGACTGAGCTTACTGTTAACGGCTCTCGGCGCTTGCTAATATCTTCGACAATCGTAATACCTTCATCCATAATATTATGCATTTTGCAACAAGCGCTAAGCATACGCATAGCTAAACGATCCACTACAAGCACATTCCATCCACCTCCTTTATCACTTCGTCGTAGTGGTCGAATTACTTCATTCAGTAGTTCTAAAAGTTATACCACTTCATCTTCCAACAAAATTTCAGGCTACACGCCAGAAATAGATAAACTGGTAGCTTACTTTAACTCAATTCAATTTGAAAATCTGAATCATAATGAAATTTGAAATAATTTACATAAGAAGCATCCCGTTTTTCAACACATGAAAAGACATTTCACATGAAAAGACATTTCATCGAATTTGAAAGTGAAAAAAATCTAATAATTAAATATTTTGCTTAAAAATCATTCCATAGACTAATCACAATGAGGTAGTTTGCGCTCTTCTGCATGTCATCTTCGGATATGATCTAATTAATGATTGAAAAAAATCTTATCCTGATCAGTGTCTGATTAGTAAGCTTGAGAATTTATAGAAAAGAGAGGTAATGAGCATAAGACAAAATATGCAGATGAATGATAACATACTAGCACAAATTCAAATTTAATTCCTGAAAATTTTACTACACTTGTTTCTACAGGCTATATAAAAAATTAATGGTGCTGATTGTTCTCATTTGTACATTATCGTGCTTGTTGGCAAGTGTGGCTCCTTAACATATCATGAAATTGTTGGAACGCAAACAGCAAGAACTGCAGCGTGTATCAACAGAAATCCAGATTCTTTCTCGCGGAAACCCGCAACAACAGCGTAAATGTGCACGTTTACTAGTTAGTTTTGCTTGATGGTTATGATCATCCATTTTGAGCACAATTCTTTTTTTAATTCAACTGAATGTGTACTACTTTTATTTATTTAAACGGAAAAGTGAGAATGTGTGCTTCATCATATTAAAAAATAGCATTTTTTTAAACATGCTAGAAATCAAATTTAATTTTATAATACAAAAACTGAATCGTCATTTACTAAGAAATAACATCATCAACAAGTGGAATAATTAAAAAGCTAACTTTATTTAGGAAGATAAAGAAAAACTACTCAATGAGATTCAAATGCTACAAGCAAACGAGAATAATGAAGAGAAAAGGTTAACTCGCATTTCTGTCAACAAAACATCCCTGATATACCTTTAAATCATTCTGCTAAAAAAGCAAATACTAAGCTCGACTGAGTCTTTACAATTCTCACAATGAATTTTTCTTAATTTAAAATATTCTCAACTCTCATACATTCGATGAGTACATATCTTGGCAGAAAATCTCCAATTTCAGGCTTGATGAGCTAAAAAAGCAAATAGAAACTATTGGAGGAGATACAGGAAGTGCCAAGAAGAAGCGCAAAAAATTGGAGGTTAGCTTACCTAACTTTTGAATTAACTGAGTTTTGAAACATGCATAATCTTCCTATGAAGTACAATCCTACGAGAAAACGAAATGTTCTCCTCAACACTAACTACATGTTTTATAATTATTACATTAAACTGAACGTTTTTGATAGAAAGAATATGAGGAAGTAAGAGAAAAAGTTGGTAAAGGTGAAGAAATGAAAGAAAGTGAGGGAGCTAACGACAGCACACTGTCGATTCAAACCGATGAAAACATATATTTGTCAGTTTTTATGCAGAAAAATATTAATAGATTATTTAGTTACCAGTTATTACTAGAAAATGTGATTAGTAGAGTCAAACTGAAAACAAATTATAAGATATATACTGCGAATAGACAAATAAAAAGTAAATGAAACTAACAATGACCGTAGGGGTGAACAACAACCAGAAGTAAAGCCAATTCATAAGGACCAATTCGGTGTATATGAACAAATTAGAGCTACAGATGGAGTTGAAGAACGAATGCTTAAAAGGTGAAATTTTGCGCTCCTCAAAAAAAATGCTTTTCAGGAAATCTTGGGTCATTTTCAGCCTTGCATCCGAATCTTAGGTGCAGAATTTAAATGTAAAACTTTTATGTTATTTCAGAAAGAAAATTGTATCAGAATCTGAAGATGTATTTACTCTTCGAATAGCCAGCTTACGTGGCATAGAAAAAGATATTGGTAATATGATTGAACGAATAGCCAGTCCTGCTATAATAAAATTTGAGGAAGAATTAAGGCTCATCCGTAAGAGAAGTATTAAGGATATCAGACTGCTAAAAATAGAGGTTCGTACTCTTTTACTTATTCCTTCAAAAACTTTAACATTACCACTGAAACCAAAAAATTTCCAGATTTCAATTCACTGGCCTCTTGTACAGAAATTTTATCCTCCAGAAGTACTGCTTTTAAGTGGCTAGACAGTGAAGCTCATCACGAATCTTACATTAACTTATCGTAATTAACAAAACTTCAACATACCTAATGTAGTATTTACATTTCGTAATGGAACAATGACAAAAAACTATGCTATCAAAATATAAATAAATATATGATAATTTTTATATATTTGTATTAATACATCATTGATGCTATAATACTAGATCATAAGACTAATTTCATTAGAGGCCTCAAAAAAATGCATTATTTCCGACCGAACAATGATGCTAATCAAAACTTTTTATCTACAATAAAAATGTGATTAAGTAATTGTAGATAGCAAAATTAGAAAAACGACTAAATGAAATCAATTACAACTGCAGAACATGTGAATCAAGCATGGCAAAAATGAATTTAACAACCAAAAGAATGTTATTTGATTTAATCGGTTTTGTAGTGTACATTTTACGAAATGCCTTATATCTTGTTGCACGAATACGTGATTTACTTGTCTCTCAAAACGAAAATTAGTAAATATGACTAGAATCACGCATGGAATCACATATTATCCAGTCCTTTTGTTTCATAATGCTGTTAAAATAAATATAACACACTAAATTTACTAAACTATCAACAAACAAACGATATCTGCTTGTAAATATTAAAATCTCAAGTTTTCTGCACTACGGTCAATATCTGAAATTCAAATCACACACTTCTGTAAGTATGAAAATTAGAAACATCTGAATATTTACAAAAAAACTGAAATATTACAATTAAACAGATTGTGAATTAAATAGTCTAATAAATTACTGATGTTAAAAAACAAAAACTTCAGGCACATTAAAAAAGTATGAATGCTTAATTGCTCACAGCTGTATTGTCAAACTAAAGTAAATGTAAGACTTACTTTGACCAACAATACCTTTCAACGACATATTCACTGGTCGCGGATAAACCTGCAGTACGTTACATCATTTTTTTTGTATAATAAAGCAAAAAAATAAAAAAGAAGCTAATGTCTTAAAATAACATGCGTAGCAAGTGTGAGTTCGCGCCACTAATTATTACTGATTCTTAAATGATGAGCAAATGACTAGATACAACAGAACTGCAAATGCAAGTGATAAAAATAACCGACACAAGTAATCTCAATTTGCCTGACAATTGCATGAAATTCACACATATACTAAACACTTTATCTTTTCAGCTTAAAAGCTAATTAGTTTCGAATTTCAATTACAGAAGTACAAAACTAGCTATTAGATATTAGATAAATCCTTCAATCTAAAATTACAAATGACAGCAGTTGTTCGCTTTTATACTTCATAGTTATTAACAGATTCTTGATTTCTTCTAAAGTAATAGCAGGAAACTTTAATTGACCATTAATACATACAAAGCACTACAAGTATGAAAATCAATTCAAAAGTTCGTTATAAGTTAACTCAGTACTGCATATAGCGTCAAATCACTCTCAGCCATAAAACTTCGTAATTAACAATCTCAAGCTTAAATCCGAGTCCCGTTCCTACAACCAAAAAGCCAATTCAATATTTCAGCAAAACTCTGAGCTACTAAAAAATGATCAATTTGTTTCCGTTTTATACGGTCCATTAAATACTATGATGAAAAAGCTACTTCCCATTGTTTTAAATCTTTACTAATTTCCACAAACTTGAAAGCTGGTGAAAATATTAGCATATGCCAGATTGTTGTTTTTAAAGTACCAACTAATAATTGGTTCTGAATTACTTTGGTAGTATTACTCTGGTAAAGTGTTTTACTGATAGCGGTTTTATGGTTGAGAGTGATTTAACGCTCACGTAGAATAATAATAATCCCAGTGAATTCATACTCGTTTTATTGCTTGCTTAGTCAGTATTTTCAATTAAAAAAAACGACCAAACATTTTTTTTTTGTGATTAATGTGTTTTTTTTAATAGTTTGAAAAAATTTTGAAATACTTTTGTAGATTTTTCAGAAAATAAACTAGAAATTTGTTTTTTAGATTTACGTGCTTACTTTAAATTCTGAAAAGATTTAAAAATGTTTCCTCGTAATTTTTTCTTCTCTGTTTCTAAATTGTAATGTTTAGCTCACATTCGAAATTTTTACTTATTTCAGAAAGTGGATGAGTTCCTTATGTGCACCGATATTAACAATTGAGAGTGTTACCGAACCTGTTGGTCGTTCGGTTCTTTTAACCGGCAAGTTTTATGCTATTTTAGTCTTTGCTATTTAATTGTATTTTTTCATTGCAAATTGGTTTTTCGCTTACTTTTAGGAGATGGTTGTAAAGTTAGTTGCTATCAGAAGGATGCAAATAACTCATTGAAATTATATCAACAAACTTCAATTTTTGAAGAAAGAGGACATAATGTGCGTGGATTAACCTATCTCAACAAATATGGTAGTACTTTTTAACTTAGCTATTTCGTACATTTTTTTTTTTTTGAAAATTTGCGCGTTTGGCATGATCTTTTAGTTTTTTTAATATTTAGATATTTTGCTAGCATATGGTGAAAGATTAATGGCTGTTGTTTGTAAATTTTTCACTGATCCGCAGAAAAAAGTATACAGTTGTCAAGATTGGATCCAAGCTTTACTTGTTTTTAGCGAAAGCAGTGAAATGGAGCGTTTTGTGGAGGTATAATTTCATTACTGCTATTTTTTTCATTATCATGATTGGTTATTCCTAATATTGTTCATTATCATTAATGATCAGTTCTGATAATGCTTTCATATTTTGTTTTTGTCAATTTCATATACTTTTAAATCACTATCAGACCTTAAAGTCTAATTATCCTAACGACTATTGATTTATTCTTGCAGTTTGTTACGCTATCTATCAATAATGAAGTGCAGCTTTTCCAATTGAATATTATGGAGGAAAATTCAGTTATGGATGTAAAACAAGTAGCGAGCGTCAAATCAAATTACAGATCAACTATGTATTGAAATTTTCAACGAATTTATTGTATCTAAAAAACTGTAGTTCAGTCAGAAGTTCTGTATTAGAGGCAGTGTTATTATTTTATGTCTAAATTCACGTAACTTATTTTTTTCATTAATTCATATGAAGCACAGAATTTATATTTCTGTAATTTAACAAGTGAATAATTCGGCGTTATTAAATTTTGCCTCACTAAAAATTATTTAATTTACATTTTTACAGAATGTATTCAGTTTTGGACGGTTCAAGTTGGAATACTCTTCGTTCAATTGTGGGCACAGTAATGGGTAATATAATCATTTCATATCCTTCACAATCCTCTTCTCCTATCCATGTGCTGAAGTATCATTCGGTTTGAGCTTAAGTATTTTGAAATAGTTTGTGATATATTTGTTGAACAAGCTAGGATTTTTTGAGTCTAGTTCCAAATTGATTACATTTACTTATTTGAACACTTCAATAAAGATTTTGTACTTTTTCAAGATCTGAATATCTATATCATTTTTTAGTTTGGCCAATTAAAAAAAAAGATTACGGTGCATGTTAATTATCTTGAAAACATATTTCAGGGTATGATTTTTGGTTTACTTGTCAAGGGGGAACTTTTGCTTTCAATATCTGATGACAGGAGTTTACATTTGTGGGATTTGAAAAATGCTAAGCATATAGATAAGCGTTTTGGGCATCCTACAAGACCTTTTACTATTTGTGATGGGCCAAGAAATTTGATTTTCACTGGAGGCCAAGTTTGTATTTTAATTTAATTTTTTCGAAATTCCTGCTTTCTAAATGCCAGAATTTGATTTTTATGATCAATTTTGCTAGTGCAAATAATTTCAAATAATGAGCAGAATTAATTAGAGACCCAAAGTTTTTGCAATAGTTGTGCCCATTGTTTTGTTTTAGGATGGGAGTATTTGCTTTTGGAAACTTGACGAATCATCTGCTTCACTTTTAGAAGTTATACATACAGAATATGGTGTTATACGTTCCCTCTTGTTTACATCTCAAGAATTAGTATATTTCTTTTTCGCATATAAAAAAATTTATTATACATTTCTTTTTGAAAACAAAAACGATTGAATTCCGGAGAAATGATCTCTTTTCAGCATCGTTGTTTACACTAATATGCATCCTTTATATCTGCTCTTACATATTTCAGGTTTTTGGTACTAATTGCGGGTTCTTAGGATCGATAACTTTTTCAGGTGGAGTGGAAAAAAACCAAACTGTGGATGTTATCCATTCCGACTTTTCAGTTCAGTCGTTCATTCCGTTATGTGACAAATCTTATTTTATTTCGGATTCTGAAGGGTGAATTATTGTTTCTTACAGTATATTCAGTATCATTCTAATAAGGTTTTTGAAAACATGAACGAGTTCAAAAAAAGAAGCTTTTTTAGATGAATCTCACGTATTGCTCTCTATTTTTCGACCTCTTAACCTTAATTTATTTCAAATAATTAGTGCAGGTGTTCTTTATTTAGATATACTCATCAAAATTTTAAATAACACTATTTATCAGTCCGTCTTGCCTGCATGATTCAAATCACTGCATAGATCTTAAATTAATATTAAAAAATGCATTAATTTAAGAGTTAATTAAATCATTAGGTAAACTGCAACCAATTCTGTCAGTCTGAAAGAGATGAAATGAATCTGAAACATTGTTTTATCAAACACTTTTAGTTGCCATTAAAAAATCTTCAGTATTTTTTGATCAGTTTCAGTTATCATCGAAATCAGTTGTGTTTCAAGTTTCAGAATATTATATAGATTAGCTAACATTTCTCAAGATGAAATTATGAAGTGTGGTTCTATTCGGTTTATGAAAATGTCGCCGTGTAAGAAATATGTATCTTTTCCTGAGGATAATAAACTTCATATGGTACGAGGTGAGCGCGTTTCTGCAATTACTAATGCTTCAACCATCTAATCCTTTCCATCTAAAAATTTGACTGCGATCGTCTTCTTAAATTTAAAAGCAGTTAAAAGAGATTTAAGTTTTTTTTTTTTTTTAAAAAAAACGTGCCGTAATTTTTTAAAGTTTACGACAATCGTTGTTTTTGTTTCTGTGCCTCTGATCAAATATTGGATTTATTCTGGATCGAAACTTATGTGCTTCTCGTCTTGATGAATAACAAAAATGTAATTTTTTTAACTTTTGATGAAAATAAATTTTTTTTTCAATTTATTTTTTATCAATAAGCTGTAGTGTAAGTTGAAAAATTTCCTGTAATAGGACTTATTTTTTCCAAAATTTTCAGCTGACGTGCTTTTTGAAAGATGTTAACTAAAATATATTTGTTTGGAGCTACTTGTTAGGGTTGAACTCGGCGTTACATAATTGGTCGGATGTCATTTCATATTTATCGCGCATATTTCAACAACTTGCAGATACTAGTTCACTTGTCAGAAGATATGTCTGATTGGATGAGTTATAACTTCCAGATTCATTTGCAAGAAATTATTTCGTGTGTTACTTATCTTGCTGATTGTCTTTTTCTCGGTACCAGAAAAGGTTCGATTGTTGTTCTAGAGAACTTCAAAATAACACAAGCAGACAGTGGCGCTAAAGTAATTTAAATTTTTATTTATATATTGTGCACATAAATATCTATGAACGGACGGATAACTATTCAGAAATAAGCGTTTATTGCACGCATTGCTAATTATAGAACTTTTCGATATGCTAAATTTCTTTTTATTTCATATGAGTTGAGGCACTGATGAGTTCTAAAATTTAATCTTTTTGCATTAAATGACTTTACATGGGTTGATTTCTTCTTCACTTCAATAACTTGTATCGTATATGAGTACTTAAATATATCACGGGTGCAAAATGAGCTCATTTAAATTCTGGATCTGGATTAAAAGTCGTCAAGATTCAGGAGTTTCATAAATTGACGCATAAAGTAGCCAATTTGATTTTTAGATAAAGCAAATTATAAAACGTGCTCACGGTAAGGATCGGGTTATGGATATAATATCATATAACACGAGATTATTATCTGTTGGACGTGATGGGAAACTTTGCATTTGGAAAAGAGGTTCTGGTTTATTAAGCATTTGTCTTTCAAATGTTCATTTATACGTTAATGAAGGAAAATGCTTTGAAAAACGGAAAGAGAATAAAACTTTTTGTAATTAACTTATTGTTGTCTGCAGGGAATCAATTGAGATTATTATCTTCTCTAAGATCGTCTACTTGGCTTCAAATGGAATGGCCTTGCATGTTTTTAAAGGCATGGGGTCAATTATACATAGCAGGATTTCGCGGGGTTCTGTATTTAAAAGCTTCGCAGTATCATTTGAGAATATTTTTTCAGTTTAGTTACTGGAGCTGTGTTATTTATTAAAATAATGTGGCCTTTCATATTTTCAAAATTAGATTTGTTTTTTCAGACTAACTTCGTAGTGCTGCATTTTGATAGTGGACATTGTGTTTGTGACTTGTGGTGTGGTGGAGGTCATCGTCCTTGGTGGTTATCGGTGTTACACAAGACTGAGAAATATGAAGCATCAAAATTGATGTGCTTTGAATTTGTTATGAAAGCAAAAATTTCAAAAGTCGTATTTTCTATAAATGACTTAAAAGTTATCAAGGTAAATTACGAGCAGTGTTTTTGTATTTCCATGATTTATTGGATTTTTCTGGAGATGTATATTGAAGACGAATGAATATTTGTTAAACTACTTCAATAACCTCTTAAAGTGGTTTTGGTCTCAGATATGTTATTCAAAACACAGTTATTTTTGTTTTTAAGCCCAACCTTCACTTATCTGATATAACATCCATTGCAACCATAGAGATGAATAAATCATTGTTGTATGTTACCAGTGGAATCGATACTACGCTTGTTTTGTTTCGACTTTTATCTTCAGGTAGAGGAAGTTTCTTATTTTTTTTCGCTAGCGCAAATTATATCAGCATTTTTCGTGTTTTTATTTACAATCGCAATTTTGTTCCCATCATGATTTTCATAAAACTCAGAAGAAAATATGGATAAAATAGTTATTTTCAGAAACTGTTGAAGTGTTGCAGCGACTATATACGCATTCTTCTTCAATTTTTTGTATTGCAGTAATGGATCTGTACCTCATTTCTGCTGGTGGAAAATCAGAAATTTTTATTTTTATTCTAGACGGAGGTAAGTCTCTACTTTATTTTGTTTTTATTTTGCCTTTGGTCTGGGTCATATATTATTTTTAGAGAACTTACAGCAGTTATTGAAAATGCGTTTGGATGTGGACTGTAGATTATTGAGTATTTGCTTCATTACAGTCAGCCCTTACATTCGCTTTTTGGTTTCGGGATCGGATGGAAGATTACTGTAAGTTTTACTGGAGTAAAGATTAACTACATTTAGAAGTAACCTTTTTCTGTTTTGAAATAATTAAATCATATTTGTAACTATATTTTTCTTTCAGCATTTATGAGTTAAGCAAAACATTAGATGTACAAAAATTCATTGTTTTGCTGGGCACAACGGATGATGTTGGAATTATGACTAAAGTTTCTTGTGCTTCTTTAAGCGATAGTATTATATGCAGTGCCATCTCTTCTACAGGAAAGCTGCTTATTTGGAATTTTTCTGAATTATTAGAAGAAAAATGCACGAAAACATTTGACGTGGAACAATGCGGACTGAGTGCACTGGATATGTACACAGAAGATGGTAATAAAATTTTGTTTATTTATCAACTAGCGTACGCGTTCTATTTTCATTAAACAAGTAGACCTATATTTGGTTTTTAAAGGCTTTTAATTTTAGGGATCTTGTACGTTGCTGTGGGTTCTGAATCTGGCCGAATCTTTTTTTACGAAGCAAGAAAAAATCTGATGTCTACAAAATGTATGAATCATTGGCATAGTGCCACTTGTACTGGTAAGAACTTGTTTTGCTATTAGCTGCGACAGGATGCTTATATTAATCCATAAACAGTTTTTAGCCTTTGTTCTTCTCGATGATTTTTTAGCTGATTTACTTCCGAATGAAATTATTGTAGATTTGCGCATTCATCGAACGTTAGAAACGTACTTGCTGATTTCCATAGCATTGGATTGCCGATTAGCAATGTTTTGTTACTCATCTACTGAGCAACAGGTCTTATTCATTCGCTTATTTTTGATTATTCTTATGAGTTTTATACCCAAGAAATTTTTAAATGAAAATGTAGATTAAATTTTTGGCGAAAGAGTCTACTCTAAACTGAAAGTTTTAACTTTAATTTGCTAAAGCATTACTTTATGAACTTTATCCGAAATTGTTATCTTTGACAATCTGGTGTGTAGATCGTTTACTGCCAAACAGCTTTCAACTTTATCAAGAGAATATTTGTATTGTTTCTAATTAATGTCGTTTCTTTTTTATTTATTTAATTCTATATACATAGATTTTATCCATTGCACAGGATTTTTTCGTCTGAAAAAAGACTGCCGCAATGAAGTGAAAAAACTTCTGGTTTTTTTTGTGACACAAAATTTTGAAAAATTTCAGCTGACCTTTCAACATTCCGTGCTACTGAATATTTACGATCCATCGTCGTTAATCGTCTCGGTTACTCATAACAATATGGCAAAATGTACAATAGTCGGCACATCAGTTTGCATTGTATACTTTAACAATTCGTTTCCATACTTTTTTATCATCAATCGGAAATAGGGTAAATAAAGAAGCAGCAGTATTTATAACATTTATAACAATCAAACTGATTGTTATAAATGTTATAAACAAAACAATCAAACTGATTGTTATAAATGTTATAAATACTGCTGCTTCTTTATTTTTTTGTTTTGAAGATGCTATTCAGTTTCATAATCATTTCCATTTCATTGTATATGGTAAAAAGATTTTAAGTTTCAGTTATAATTTAAGTACATACTTGAGGTCTTAAAAGTTAAGTAAGAATAATTTAGTAAGCCTGAATCGTAAAGTCTTTTAAAAAGTTTTTTGTATCATTAATATTTTATTTGTTGTTATGGATTTTAATATATGTTTTAAAAGTTATTACTGAAATACTTAAAATGAATAATGCTTAGATCAGTAGTGAATAGTAAAAGTGAGTTGTTTCAAAAGACATGTAACAATGAGCCTAATTTTGATTTCGTTTCGGTTTCAGTAATTTGTAAGTAGTGAATTACTTCTTCAGAGCAGCAAATGGCTGTTACTTTTACATCGTTATTGTTTGTAATCACTAAATTATAGTTTAGTCTTGATATTCAAATTGTTAGTAAAATTTCTGGATTCCTCAATATCTCTGCAGCCCTTTATACGATATATGTTCCATCTGAAATGAGAATAAGTACTCGGTTGTATAGATTCCATAAATTGTTTTAAAAATATACAATATAGAAATGAATATTTTGATGAAAATCTCTCATCTAGTAACTGAATTTAATGTATTTGTGTTTCATATCATTTGTTG